CTGTTCAGCCAGGTGTTGATCTGCAGGAAGCATTTGCTTCTAACCAAACCTTTCTCCTTGACTACAGGGTCCAGAATTTTAAGTGATCCTTTATTTCTAGGAGTAAAAGAAAGCTTTCAGAATGATATTCCAGTGTGAATTTGTCTAATTAAGGATGAGTTGCTTAAATAAAGTAGGTATTGCTGACATTTTTTATACTTTCACTTAGTTTACTTACTATACTTGAGTCAAAATAGAAAATTTACAGAGTAACTGCATGACTGTTGATTTTATTTTTTAATAAACAATTTTGTTTTTAAACTAGTAAATAGAAAACTAATAAAAAGTTTATATAAAACTTTGTACAAACAAGTATAAGTAGAACTTATTGAAACTCGGTTAAAATTACGTAAAATATCTAAATAAGGTAAAATATATTAGAAGGTTATGGTTTTCAACATTATTTGGAATAAGGAGAAAAATTCCTTCCCTCTGTAGTTCTTGGTCTCCTTGTAACTGCTAATAATCAAAGATACAGTTACTTTAATAAGCTAAATACTAAGTTATAAAGTGATAACTAAGTTTTAGAAAAGAAACTTACTCCACTGTGCACCTGTGTAATTTCATTCAGACATTTAGACTGCTTTTTCTATCCCTTCACAAAAAGGAAGGAAGGTAGGTTCACTAAAAAGAAGAACAAAACAGTGACAGTAGAAGATTTTGCTTCTCATAAAAATGGAAACAGTAGATTGAATTATTAATAAGAAAAAAAATCCTTTCAAGACCATGTGGCTGGAGAAGTGAGTAACCCCAACCAAATCAGCGCTTGCCAGTAATTTAATTTTACTGTCTTAAATGGGCTTATTCCAGCAATAGAAAATGATCCTCTTCCAACAGTACCATCCTCCTCACCAGTTCACCCTCTTTCCATCACTTCCATAGAGAGAGAGTATTCCTTCCCTGCTTTTCCAGCTCCCTTCTCTTAACCAATCTGCAGCAATCCCACAGTCTTCCTTTCTTTGCCTGACACACGCTGCATTTGAGATACTTTTCCCATCTAACCATTCTCAGGTGTATCCACAGGAACAGTAATCCCCTTCTTTGCCCAGAAACTTCTCTGTATGAAAAAATAAATGTGCAGGACATTTTTTGTCTTATTTTAATGCCAAATAATAAGCAGAATAATTAGTAGTAATATAATAATATAAAATCCAAACACCTATAATCCTGTGCATTAGATTTAAGAGGCAGAAAATGTAGAAGAACCACAGAATGGTAGGGGTTGGAATGGACTGTCAGAGACCAATTCCAACCCCTCCTCCAAAGCAGGCTCACCTACAGCAGATTGGACAGGAATGCATGCAGGTGGGTTTTGAAGGTCTCCAGAAAAGACAAATCCACCCCCTCTCTGGGCAGCCTGTTCAGTGCTCTGGCACCCTCACAGTGAAGAAGTGTTTCCTCACTTCCTAAGCTTACCTGTGCGGATGTTATGGCAGACAGTGTCAAAAGCCTGGCTGAAGTTGAGGTAGGCAACATCCACTGCTGTCCCCTCATCCACCCAGCAATTAACCAGCTGGGTTAATTTATTCATTTCTTAAGAAATTAACTAACCATCAATTAATCAATCAATTAATTAATTGAAATAATTGAATTAATTGAATTGATTAATTAATTTCAATTAATTTCCCTTCTTCCTTCTAGTGCCTTAGCCCATGGGATTCCTCTAAGCAGGTCTTTGAAGAGGCCTCTCTAATTGCAGTGAGATCACGACCCTGCGACTGCACGCAGATCTGTAGTTCTTCCTGCTTATTTCCCATGCCACGTGCATTAGTACACAGGCATTTTAGAGCTAGTCAAGCATGCAGGTTTCCCTGAAGGGGTGCAAGAGGATGCACCACAACCATACACATCCTTGAGGTGGTTGATCTTCTAGATCTTATTTTAGGAGTCAGCTAAGGAACGTTTGTTGCTGCTGTGGTTGCCCTGGCTTATTCCTCAGGTAGATATGATGGCATGAGCATTGCAGCCTTGGACACCAGATCCAACAGGGATCAACTTAAAGCTGCAAATTATCTCGCTGTGGTTGGTTAACTTAGGCTGACTTGCAGACGCCCACCCACCTAGCTGCTCTGTCACACACACTCTTCAACAGGAGGCGAGGAGGAAATAAGATTAAAAAGCCAGTGGGTTGAGAGAAAAAACAAATGGCTGGAACCAGCTGGAACTGTCTGGAACCAGCTGTGTCCAATATGGAGCAGCTCCTGGCCTTTTCTCACAGAGGGCTCTCCTGTACCCACCTACACCGCTGTCAAAACCTTGCCAGTGACACCCAATGCACATCAATAAAGCAGTATTCAAAAATTAACTCATTAAAACCTATCAGAAAGTATGAAAAATAAGGCTCTAAAAATTCATAAATGGTGTGTAGTTTAAAGCTAACTCTGCCTGAGCTCTAAGCCAAGATGAATTCTGAGCATCCAAGCCATACAGAAATGTCTTGTACGTACTAGCGCAGTGCCAAATCCGAGCTACTAATCTCTGCTGAAAAACTACCATAGCCATGTGGCTCTGATTGGCTTTGATGCTCAGGTACAGTTAGCTTTCTTCTAATTAGAATATTACATAGAAACATATCCTTAGATGCTACAAACTGTGTAGCACAGTTGATGTTTTGTGTGAGTGAGCCAAGCAGATTCAGTCTCTATGGTTGACACTGTGATGCATGGAAAATCTTTACAGTAAATCCTTCAAATCTTTATCCTCTACTGAGATTAATTCAATCCACAGCTGTAAGATCAGAGTTGGTCTACAGAAAATGAGGTTTTTTTGAAAGGTACTCCTAATACATATCAAAACTTTGAAAAGACATGGACCACAAGAGAAGTGGAAGAGGATGCTAAAATTCACATATACAAACCTGACCAATATCAGCTGTTGAATGCACTAAACCTTGATAGTCATGTGGTACCAAATGGTAGTAACAGTACAAGCAGAAAACTTGGAGATTAAAAATCAAACAATTTATTCTTGAAAACTTCACAGCTATCTGTCCAAGATAACAAAACAAAATAAGGTAACAACTTGATTAAGACTATTGTGAAGCAATTGGCATAACCCAAGCATCTAAAGGAAAGGAACATAAAAAACCCAGACTTTTAAATCTTACCTCCAGAAGATTTCAAACTCATTATCAGTTCTTAAATAAGCATAGTGAGCCATAAGAACTAGGAAAAAACTGTAGTGAGATGCCTTTGAAATGTTAGTTTCATTCCTTTAGACAAGGAGTGAAAAAATCTCTGTTTTGATTGCTGTGATGCATCATAGGGCTAATAGCAATAAGATAGACCATGTGAGACACCACCTGGCTGCAAAGTTCATCCCATAATGGGGAACAGGGTCATAACACACCTGAAGTGCAGTTCCTGTGAGCTGCCAGGGCAAGCTCAGCAGGTATATATAATAGATTACTGTCAAAACAACCCAGACAAAGTACACAGGAACTTCCTATTCCACCTGGGAGAGCAATAGCTTTAATGTTCTATTCAGTTTTGGAGCAACTTATATTGTGACACTAACCTTGCTTGTCAAATGGACATTATGATTTTTAATCAGGAAATAAAGGAGTAAACTTGCCAAAATATATTTTCTTAATGCTGGCTTTCAAATAAGAACAAAGAAGAGTATAATGAATGCATGTGTGTTATGGATGTCACTATATTTACTTATACTTCTATAAAATACTAATAAACTATACCTATATTATAAAAACAATCCCCCAAAAATTATTCCTGTCCCCAATAAAAAAAAGGGAAAAAAAAAGATAAAACAAAGTCAGCAGAGTATATAATTATGTAATTTTACTGATATTTGTTTTCATGTTTCTAAAGAATCTGACTGAAATGACATAGATTTTTAGTTTTAGCATTTATTTTACATGCAGTAAAGAGCAACAAAAAATTAAGAATTATGAACAGTTCAATGCTTGAGACAAATTCAGATGTGACTTAAACAGCAAGTCAGCAGTAAATGAGGCTCTTGGATTTTCTCTTTGAAACAATGCAGTGAAAAGGAAAGAAACCGTACAGCCATCTTCATTCATGTAGCAACAATAGGTCTCACTCTGCAGCAGCCAAAACAAGTTCTTTAAACTGTGCATTGCTAGGATTAATAAGCACTGAAAAATGCAGACAAAGAAAGAAGACAATTTTTCTCTTGACTATTTCCATGTAACTTCATTATTCCCGTTGTCTTTATTCTAGAGACTGTGCCTCATCAGCCTAAACTGTTGGTTTCAGTATCTCTTTTCCTAGTGTGATGTAGGACATTAACTGTTGCTTCCAGTGAAACCAAAATGAGATGACAAGAGCAACATTAAAGTGATCTTTTAATTTCATCTCCAAAGATGAAAAGTAAACACAGCATGCTCATGCATGGCTTCCTGTAGGGATACTGTTATGCTGGAAGTCATCTGAATTAAGACTGAAATCTATTTTTGTGGGGTGCAGGGTCCTATTTGCTATTCCAGGAAAGTATTTTGGCTCCCTGTCTATAAAGCAAAGCAGCTCCAGCCAGTAACAAGAAAGCTTGCAAGCATGATGAAGGTGAGGGAGGGTAGAGAGTTATACACACTTAGATACATACAAAGCACCTCCCTGATCAACTGTTATGAGGAAAAATAATCTCAACCGCATAGGATGTCATGATGTTAATCTGAAGACGGTTATATAAAAATGGCACTGTCGGGTTTCCTTGACACCGATACAGATAGAGCAGAAATATGAACCACATGTTCCTCTTGTGCCTGGAAGTTTGTAAGGAAACTTTTCTTTTGTGATTTTGCATTGTTAAAAGGCAATTTATACATGTATTTATCTGACAGCAGATGCTGTCATCTGACTTTAGTGCCTTAATCTGCTAGTAAAACCAGCTTTATTTTTCTCTTTCCGATAAAAAGTAACAAGGTTTATTTATCGTATGCATATCTATTTTTGTGTTAAACTGAAGTTATTTTAATGTTGCAGATCTTCCAACTACTGGCTCAATCGCATCCAGTCCTTTCTCTACTGCAATGAAAATGGCCTCCTGGGAAGTTTTTCTGAAGAGACCCACACGTGCACCTGCCCAAATGACCAGGTTGCCTGCCACGGGTTCCTTCCCTGCACGGTTGGAGACGGCTCTGCCTGCTTAAGCTGTGCTCCTGACAATCGCACGCGCTGTGGGAGCTGCAACGCTGGCTACATGCTGAGCCAGGGGCTTTGCAAGCCTGAAGTGGCAGAATCGACAGAGCACTACATTGGGTTTGAGACTGACCTTCAGGACCTGGAAATGAAGTATTTATTGCAGAAGACAGACCGGAGAATTGAGGTCCATGCCATTTTCATCAGCAATGACATGCGCCTCAACAGCTGGTTTGATCCTTCTTGGCGCAAGCGGATGCTCCTTACTCTTAAGAGTAACAAGTACAAGTCTAGCCTGGTCCATATGATACTGGGCCTCTCTCTTCAAATTTGCCTAACTAAAAACAGCACCTTAGAGCCCGTTCTTGCTGTTTACGTCAACCCTTTTGGGGGCAGCCACTCTGAGAGCTGGTTTATGCCTGTGAATGAAAATAATTTCCCAGACTGGGAGCGGACTAAACTGGACTTACCCCTTCAGTGTTATAACTGGACACTGACTCTGGGCAACAAGTGGAAGACATTTTTTGAAACTGTACACATCTATTTGAGGAGTCGAATAAAGTCAAATGGTCCAAATGGCAATGAGAGCATCTACTATGAACCTCTGGAATTTATTGATCCCTCAAGAAATCTGGGCTACATGAAAATCAATAACATCCAAGTGTTTGGCTACAGCATGCACTTCGACCCAGAAGCAATTCGAGACTTGATTTTGCAGCTGGACTACCCCTATACTCAGGGATCACAGGACTCGGCACTTTTGCAGCTGTTAGAGATAAGGGATCGTGTAAATAAACTCTCTCCACCTGGTCAACGTCGTCTAGACCTCTTCTCTTGCTTGCTTCGTCATAGACTCAAACTGTCTACCAGTGAAGTGGTGAGGATTCAATCTGCTTTGCAGGCCTTTAATGCCAAATTGCCAAACACAGTGGATTATGACACAACCAAATTATGTAGTTAACCATAAACGTGAAGCACAACACAAAACCTTGAAGGAGTTTTTACAGTGCTTTTGTGGAACAGTTTATGTTTGGAAGAGTAAATTTAAATTGTCTTTTCAATATCTGTCTTATATCAGTCAATACTGTTGGATGGCAATTTACACACATGAACTTGCTGACAATGAATATATTATAACTGCAGTTTTGGTTTATGAATGAAATAAATACTGACACCAGTCTAGAAGACATTCTACTTTTTACAATAAATTTCATTTGTAATTTTATATGTTCCGTGGCAATGCTTTTGTGCATTACATCCTCTAGAGGGAACATAGAAGGATACCAATAAAATTTTGTAGCTGAACAGTTATTAAAAAGAAATGCTGTGGGATTCTTTTTTCTTACACAAAAGTAGTAACCTTGATACACTTTTGTGTGTGTTGAACACAGGAGGTGTAGGTAAGGGGAAGATAGTGACTCAAGATTTTAACAGAAACTGTAGAAAAGTCAAATCCATAGAATATTTTATTCTTAGGATGTGGCTTCAAATGTTCATGCTGAGCTGATAACTGTAGCCACGCTTTACTTGTTACACCTGAGACTTTCCTAAGGTATGAGCTTTTCAAGGTGCTTAACATGACATACAGACTCCCAGAATGGTAATATTGGGTGTTTTAGGATGGACAGAAGGTTACTATTGTGAGATGCACAGTAATTAAAGGTTGCATTAGCTCCACAGGAGACAGGTGAGAGGCTGTCTTTGCAATTGATATTACTCACGTTACAAAAGAAACAACCTTTTCCACCAAAAAGCACTTCTTGAAAGTGTTTTGCATATTTATAGAAAGGAATAAGCACATGTATACATTACCTCCTCCCAAATACACATGCCATAATATTTATCTAGAATAATCTTTTTTGAACTATTTACCTAACCACAAGCCATGATGATTACATTCAAATTAATTTTTAAAATTTCCCTGGCAAGGCAACTATTTAGAGTGTGGATATTTTTTTCATTGGTACAGATAATATCCTTTCAATGCAAGGTTTCTCAGTTTTAAAAAGCATACCATTTTACAGATATATGACAGCTCTTGAGATCTAGTTTATAAAGCTGAAAGTGCAAATAAATGTCATTATCAATTAATGAAATTGATTAAATGTTCATGACTGTGGATCAGAATTAGGTTCTTTGGTATTTTACACATACACTAAGAGAATAGTACAAATGGTTGAGCTGTCAGGAGTCCTTTGTAGTAAATACAGGGTAAAGTGAAGGAAACTGATACAAAGTCTTTTAGTAGCACCTCCTTAAGTCTAAATCTGTCATGGATGTAAAAGCCAACTTGTTTTTTTAAAATGGGAAAGGATTACAGACAAAACTACCATTTTATGTGCAAGCACAGAAATAAACCCCCCTATATTTAAATCATGTACAATTTTAATTCAACTAGACTTCAATTAATTTCAATTCAATTCATTTTTTTAAAAATCAATTTAGTTATGATACAATTTAATTCTGAAATGTAGCCTAATCTGAATTTAGAGTATACTCCACCCTTCATTTCTAACTAGACCACAGCAGGACAAGAAATGCAGTGCTTCATAAATATATGTAAACAAAGTAAAATTCAAGACCAAAAACACTTCAGAAAGCCTACTGCCAAGGAAAATCTTATTTTCTTTAGTGATTCCTGTCTATCTGGATTTCATCCAGTATTTGTAGGGATTACTATTTCACCGTCACACATTCAGATAATTCCTCAGACCTTTTATACCAGGAAGCCTCCCAGAACTAAAATTAGCATTTTTTTCTTGTAATCAATCTCTAGATGAATTCCTGTTTGTTTTCTACTTACAGCTTTCTTTTGCTGATAAATAACGTATCCTCTTCTAGGAGTCAGAATTTTGGCTTTGTTCTTGCACTGGTAAGACCTTCTCATTTAAGATTCTTACAATTCCTGTTTTCATCTCTTCAGTATGTCTTTGGCACCTATAATAAATTGAAGAATTAGATAGTTTGATTTTACTACTCAGTACCTTGTGTAGCCTTTTAAATAAACAACAAACTATGATGCTATACAGTGAACAAACCAAAAAAGCCCAACATCATCTGCTTATAGAAAGTAAAAGCTACAACAGAAGATTGTGGGGCAATGTTAAATAAAGCATTTTCTTAAGTTGTCTCTTCACTAGGGAAAAATACTAATATGTCATGGTAAATGATCTGACTCAACAACTACTTTTTTTTTTTTTTAAATATCTTTCTCTGCCAAGATGGAAAGTTCTTCATTATGCCCAAATATGTACACCATAGGATGTACAAATAAGAAGAACCCAAAAGAGACTTCAGTCAGGTATCATTTAATTATTATACAACACATTAAGTGTATTTGACTGGACTAGTGGAAAACCACTGTCACTACTGTATCTTTGTGCCAAATTAAAAGTAGGATACAACTTTCTTAACCTACTAGTCATGGACTAGTTTTGGATTTTGGACCCTGTGAGATGTTGGAATAGTGAGGACTTCTAGTTTACCAAAACTTGATTCCATACAGATAAATGTAAAAGGGGAAAAAAAAAAAAAAAAGAGAGGTGAATAATGAAAAAAAAAAAGTTGCAGGTTTTATCTTGTTCTCAAGTTACAAAAACAAGTCAACAATATTTGCCTTTTCATACTTTTCCAACTGAAATCTTTCTATGTTCTCAAAAATAATTTCAGGGTGTGTAAAAAATAAAAAAAAAAGTCATCTGGGTAAGTCAAAACAGTCAAGGTCTTGCTCCATAAGGTATTTTGTGGTAAGCTATGAACACACTTGTGGAGAAGAAGGAACTGTGGCTACATCTATGCACGCTCATTGCCGTCTGGACATTGCAGGTAATATTTGTCCTACTTTGTGTATGCTGCACATCAGATCCTGACTCTGTTATTTGCTGTCCATTTCCCTTCTCATTCATGAATGCTGTTATTACCTGCCACTATAATCTGGAAAAAAAAAAAACAAAAACCAAACAAAAAACCCCAAGGAAATTATATTAATATATGAAACTGTACCATGACAACCTGAAACATTATTCAGAACAAACTTTAATGACCATAGTTCTAATAACCAGGTAGATTTTTATAACACAGTAACCTTCCTGCTTAAGTGAAGTCAACTGTTACCTGATACAAGCCTCTTATAACATTATTTTCCGAGCAAATACAATTGAGGTCATGTCCGACGGCTGGGAGCCAAACTAATGTCTAGGAGTTCTATTGCAGGAACAGGCTGTGATCATGGGCTACCTTATCACTGCCTAGGAGCCAGAGTTACATTTGCCAGAGTGATCTAAACCCGCGGGTCATACAGTTCGGACTACAGAGGCTGAATTGAATCACATAAAAAATACCATGAGGATGAATAAATGCGCATTTCCCTCATTTCCTTTTGAAAAGATACAGGCAGAAAGAAAACGTGTTTAAATTTTAGTGGCTGAAGGTGAGGAGAGGTGTAGTTGCATTTCGGGGTGTTTCTTGCTTTGCCACAGAACAATTACACCTGTAGGAACACTTGGAGGAAGAGCCTTTGTTTCCAAAAGTACGCATATGCTGACAGCATTTGTTGTGACAGTGCTTATTCAGCAGGCACCTCAACTCAGTGAAGAGGCAAAAGCCAAGAGAAGTCAGGTTTTCACAGGCTGAGTAAGCAAGCAGGCAGCTTGAGCAGGAAAGGGGAGAGAGACATGAAGGAGGGTGATGGAGTTGTCAAAAGGTCATTAGTTTGAAAATACAGCTCGTGTTCCAGGTGCAAAGCAAATCAGAGCACCAAGGAAGCGATCAACACCCGCATCACTGCTCTACGGAGCTACATCTAAACTTTGAGTCCTGCCTGGCAATAGAGCTGTGACAGCAAATAGGTAAATGTCATCTGGTAACGGATCAGTCTTTTACAGTCCAGCAGCAGTTGTTTCATTGACAGGTAGATGACAGAATCTGAGGTACAGGTTGTGCTAGCACAGTCACCCTTACGAACCCAAGCAGGCTCTCGATGGTGCAGCAGGGGCTCCTGCCAAGATAGCCAGAGTGCACATGGGAAGCCAGGAGAGAGACGGAAGGAACCAGGATCTCATTTTACTGGGCTTTTAAATAAATGGAAGAGAACCTCTCTTCTCATTGCAGTTAAAAGAAGGGACCAAGATCATCTTGGGTGTGGTAGGAGTTTGTTAACAAGAAATGGCGTGGCTCTTTTTTCACGAGAATCCGTGACAAGGGAAACCTTGACACCACAGCTATCATGGTGTTATTAATGCCATACACAGTTGGTTGAAACTTACAGCACAGTTTATAGGGCCGTGTGACTGGCTTTGCGTCTGTTCACTCAGCTTCACAGTCCAAGTAAGAAATCTAGATGTAGCATAGTAATCCAATGTACTTCTGCATACGGACACCACTTACTAAGCAACCTGTAACTCTGGAACACTGTATATCACGTCAACTTATCCACATGACAGAGGAGCGTATGTCTTTGAGACATTCTAGTTTCACAGATTTGGCAGAATGGGCATTCCACAGATTACACTGCTTCGGGAACGAGTATGCATGGAGGAACAGGAGTCATAACTTCTTTCTCCCCTCACCAAACCAACATTAAGGTATGAATTATGATTAAGGAATCAGCTTTACCTCCCAAAAAGGGTGCAAAATTTTCCGTTCCTACAGATTATTTCTTGGACAGTAATGTGCATCTAAAAGTCTCGGTGTCCCTTGTCAGCACACTTACATACTACTCTTAATTTTGTGGTACATATTAGTCCAACATATGCATATATGAAAGAGAAACACAGGCAAATGACAACAGCTGATGCAGGGTTGTCTGCTTTCTGGACACAGCTGCACTAGCTATTGTGTCTGCCTACAATCTCCTCTCTAACATACAGCAAACAGAAAAGAGGGTAAACCCACCGGGGATGCACAGACAATTTTGTTCTAAAAAAAATGCTTCCCTGAGAGGGCCTAATCCAGAATATGACCACCTTTCGAACACATTACAAGAGCCTTCTCTTTTTTTAAAAAGGTTTTCTGACATTTCTTAAGTGACATGCAATGGGGACGAGGATTAAAACAGAGCTAGGCATGTGCATATCAAACCATGATTCTTCTCTTGGGAAAGGGGGAAGAGCAAAGAAAACTTGAAGTCCTTTTGGGATCTCAGCATGGGTGCATAGCTCACTCTAACAGCGTTTCCATACAATAGGGAAGAAAAGACTAGGTAGAATTGCTTAGCATGAATTTGACTCAAGAAAATTGACTATAATTAGTTTTGAATACACAAAATTTTGTTTTACGTCTTTCACTCTCTCTCAGTAGGGAGGAAACTTTAA